AAGGTTGGTTGTTTTAAAAGTGTTGGATGCTTTTAACAACCACTAATAACACTGGAGGGTGTATAGTTGGAGGCAATGAAAAAAGCAAATCAAATTTCATGGTCCACAACATAAATGATTTGCCAACAGGGGTCATGTGCTCATGGGGCTCCAGGGAGGGAATTGCTCAGTTGAGAATATAGGTTTCCGGGTCATGCATGGCTTTGTATTCCCTGAAAGGATCTGTTCTGGGAGGCATGGCACTGATGGCGACATACAGATGACATACCGCTGACGTAAAAATCATAACATGTCTGAACCGTAAGAGACCTTAGACATCATATGGTCCAACTCCCTCCTACTTTCCCACATACTGACCCGGTCTGTGTACACAAGTTTACCCATGAAAATTTACCTGGGAAATGAAGGACTAGAATTAGATGATCTCAAAGGTGTCTTCCAGTTTTAAAATCCTATGATCAAATCAAATTGAGGCTCAGAGCAGCAGAGTGACTCACCCAATGGTTCACAGGAGACACTGTATTTAGACAGGCACAGTGTGGCAGGGCAGAAAGAACACAGGATTTAGAATCAGAAGATTTGCACTTGAGTGCTGGCTCCATCATTGACAAGCTGTACTATGGTGGGCAAGTCACATCCCTTTCTGAGCCTTAGTTTCATTATGTGTGAAATGCAGGGCCAATCCAATAAGTACATATTAAGTATCTATTAATATTTTGATACAGACTTGGAGAGGTTTGGAAGCACAGGGCAGGCCACTGGGTCCTGGATGGAGTTAGGTACCCAGTGTGGGAGAAGTGGCTGTTAGGTGGCACCATAATGCACAGAACACTGGGATTGGAATCAGGAAGACCTGAGTTCAAATATAGCCTCAGACACTTACCAACTGGGTCTGCATCAGTTTCCTCAACTGTAAAATGGGAATAATAACAGCACCCACTTCCCAGGATTGTTGTGAGGACCAAATGAGATGATAATTATAAAGTGTTTAGCACAGTGCCTAGTATATAGTAAGCATTATATAAATATTAGTTATTATTATTATTATTAAGTGGGGTGGGTTTTTATAAGGTCCTATCTAGGGCAAATTGGGACCAAGCAGATTCCATTGCCTGGGACCAGTCCCCTAGGCATTGGAGGAAGAAAGCAGTGAAGTCAGACTTGAGAAAGCTCAGGAACGATGCTGATGTGGGTCAAGGAGGAGCACAGGTGGAATATTGGTAGATATTAGAGCTCTCAAACTGTGGGAAAGATGACTTCAGCTGTTTCTACAGGTTTATTTTTACAGAGTGAATAAGGGTTGTTGTTATAGCTGCTTTTTTAGTTTTCCTGGTGTTTCTTCATTTAGGGGTAAAGGAAGGCTTCTATGTTCTTTTCATACTATATGCAAGGCATGGTGCCAAGCACTGATACACAGAAAAATTTTTTAAAGTCTGCATCATGAAGAAACTTGTGTTCTATTTGGGTGTGGGAGGAGAGGTAGGAGGAAGGCAAAATTCAATATGTAAATATATTATATATATATATATATATACATATATATATATATTATATATATATATACGTATATATATATATATATAGTATAAATATATGTATCTACTATATATACATTGTTGTTGAGTCATTTTTCAGTCATGTCTAACTCTTTGTGACCCCATCTGGGGTCTTCTTGGTAATGATACTAGAGTGGTTTACCATTTCCTTCTCCAGCTCATTTTGCAGATGAGGAAACTGAGGCAAACAGGGTTAAATGACTTACCCAAGGTCATACAGCTAGTAAGTGTCTGAGACCAGATATGAACTCAGGAAGATGAGTCTTCCTGACTTCAGGCCAGCACTCTATCCATTGTGCTACCTATATATGATTTGAGGAGGGAGAGAGCACTGATAATTAGAAGAGTTAGCAGAGGCTTCCCAATGAAGGTGGCATAATGGCTGAGACTGGAAGGAAACTAGGGAGTCTGGGAGGAGATGAGGAGTGCTTTCTAAGCCCAGGGATCAGCCTGTGTAAAAGGTACTGGATGACAAACTTGAAAAACATCAAATTGGCTAGGCTGTAGGATGTATGAAGGAAAGCAATCCTGAAAAGGCAGACTCTGGTTAGTTGGTGAAGGACTTTAAATGCTAAATTGAGTGGTTTATATTTGGTCCTAAAGATGACAAAAAGCCATGTGAAGCTTCTAGACCAGGTGAAGGATATGGGGAGACTTCTGCTTAAGGAAGCTTATTCCAGCAGCTGACTGATAGATCAGTGTCAAACACGTGGCCTGCTGGTCAGCGTTGCAGACCACAGCAATCCCCATGGTAGGACCAAACCAGATTAAAACATAATTGGGAAATATTTAACAAAATAAAAATGAAATAAAACATAGATAATGGTACAGGGAGCCTTGTGGATGGTTTTATGCCTGTTTCTATTTGAGTTTGGCACCACTGGTGTAACAGCATAGATTGAGGAAGGAGAGGAAATGGAAACTGAGATTCCAATTTGGAAGCTATTGCTACTTGAGAAATGATCAAGGCCTGAACTGTGTTGGTGGCTAAGTGAATGGAGAGAAGAAGACAGATGCAATAGATGGATGGTGGGTAACAGTGAGGGATCAAAAATGACTCGAGATTATAACCTGGGTGACTTGGAGGAGAAATAGGAGTTTGGAGAAGAAGTGGTTAGGGGCAAAAGATAATGAATTCTGTTTTAGACATGTTGAATCTGAAATGCTTATGGGACATTAGTTGGAGATATGTAATAGGTAGTTGTTGATGTAGAACTAGAACTTAGGATGGAAATGAAGGCTGGACATATGGAACTGGGAATCATTTATGGAGATAATTGAACCCATAGGGTGTGTGTGTGTGTGTGTGTGTGTGTGTGTGTGTGTGTGTGTGTGTGAGATAAGATTACCAAGAGAGAGGTTATGGGGAAAGAAGATAAGAGGGCTCAGGAGAACGTCTTGGAGGACTCCCATAGTTAGAGGAATTTGAATGGTGATCCAGCAAAGGAGATAGAATGAGTGGTTAGATGGGTAGGAAAAGAACCAGGAGAGAGCAGTATTACAAAAACCCAGAGTGGAAAGAGTCTCCAGGAAGTGGTAAGGGTGGGGAGATAGGTCAACAATATCATGTGATTCAGAGAAGTCAAGAAGGTTAAGGAAAGACCATTGAATTTGGTAATTAAGAGATAACTGGAAGATCCCAGCTATTGTGGCAAGAACTCACTATTTGACAAAAACTGCTGAGAAAACTGGAAAATAGTCTGACTGAAAATAGTCTGACTGGAAAGTAGAAATTGGGCATAGACAATATCTTACACTGTATACAAAGATAAGCTCAAAAAGGGCACATAATTTAGATGTAAAGGTTGATATCATCAGATTTATAGAGAAGGGAAGCGTTCATGACCGAGCAAGAGACAGAGAAGTTCATAGGAGGTAAAATAGGTACTTTTGATTTGTTATTGTTGTTCAGTTGGGTCCAACTCTTCATGATCCCATTTTGGGGTTTTCTTGGCAAAGATATTGGAGTGGTTTGTCATTTCCTTCTCCAGCTCATGTTACAGATGAGGAACTGAGGCAAAGAGTTAAGTAACTTGCCCAGGATCCCAGAGCTAGGAAGTATCTGATGTCGGACTGAGCTCATGAAGATAAATCTTCCTGCTTCTAAGCCCAGTGCTCTATCCACTGTACCACACAGCTGCCCTTAGTAGAAATCTTAGGTTTGGAATGGACCTTGGAGATGACCTAATCCAACCCCTTCATCTCACAGATGTGACAAAGGCCCAGAGAGAGGAACCGACTGGTGCAAAGTTAGGCAGCAAGAGCTAAGAGGAAAAAGCCAGTAGTCTCCTCATTCCTAGACCAGTGTCTGACTCATGACAGTAGGCTACTACCTCCCTCTGAGAGCCCTTTCATCCATATTGTTCTGGGATTTTTGTAGCTGATACACCTGCAGAACCACGAGAAGTAACTTCTGGGATTTCAGTTTTTCTTTCTTCCCTAAACTGTCTTGTCCGTTTTCTACTCTTCATGAATTTAGAATTCATGTTTCATCTTTACATTTCTCCATATCCTGTGACACACAGTAACATTTAGAAAAGCTTCCCCTAACCACCCATCTGTCTAACAGTTGTACCTTAGAATGAATGCCTTTCCTCCAACAGCTTGCCCAATTTTGTCTGGAATCTGTTCACGGAGGCTGTATCTAGTCAGTTCCACGCATGTTAATTAGCTTATGCCTGTGTACATTATTCATTAATTCCACCAGATTCACTTTTTTCTCTTAGTTCACTCCCTTTTCAAGCTGATGTTTTAGAAGCAAATGGAAAGGCAGGCGAGATGACCATTTATTAAGAATATTATAGGAAAGATTGACTTAAAAAGAATATTTATAAAGTATCTACTCTATTCAAAGCACTGGGAGTGTAAAGCTAAAATGACACACACACACACACAGATAGGAATGCTACAAGGTAGGAAGTGATGGGGCAAAGGATGGATCTAGATAAAATGCTCTATGAAAATCTGAGGTGAGAGAGATCACTTCCATCTGTTGAGGAATGGGGAAATCCAGGAAGACTATACAGAGGACAGATTTCTGCCTGGGCTGAACTTTGAAGTACAAAAGATTCTCAGAGACAGAGATGAATTGAGATTCCCTGTTCTGGGGATGAGAGATGTCTTGTCTGAATGCATGGAAGTGAGAGATGGCACGTTGAGTTCAAGAAGTCCAGTGGCCATAACTTAGACTGAATTAAGGGTGGGGAATGTGAAACAAGGCTAGAAAGGTAGGCTGGAACCACATTGTTGGATGACCTTAAATGCCATCCTAATGAAGGCTGAGTAGCTTAGTCTAGGGGGGATAGGGAAGGACTAGCAGTTTTTGAGCAGGGCAGTGACTTGTATCTTAGGGAGGTAACTTTAAGAGCTACGTGAAGGCAGCAGATTTGGAGAAGGAAGTTACTAAAGGCAGTTAGGAGGCTGTTACAACATGAGAAGTAAAGAGGGCCTGAGTGGTGATGGTATGGATGAAGACAATGGGACAAATGCAAGATAGGATGTGGAGAACTGACAGGGCTTGGTAACTAATTGTAAGAGGGTGGGAATCGGTTGGGGAGAGGGGGAAAGAAATGACTGATTTTTAATGGTGTGTTACTGGAAGGCCAGTCCATTTCTGACAGTAGCAGGCATAGGTAAGTTGGAAGGAGGGGGCAGGTTTAGGGGAGAAGATAAGATCAATTGGATTAGACCTCTCTCAGCATTCTACTAAGACTTTTTATAGGACTCTACTGTATCATTCTGTCTTTTCTTGGAACTCATCTCTATACAATTCTATGTTAAGAACTAGGATACCTTTGCTTATCCCCTCAGCCCAATCATTAAGCTTCATTAAGTGTATTTTCCTATTTCTTGTCCTCTCAAAGTGGTGTCTTCTAGGGCTCTGTCCTAGGTTCTCCTTCACTTCCTTAGAGGATTTATCTGTTCCCATGGGTTCAAGTATGTCTATGCAGATGACTCCTACATCTTTCTCTCCTGGATTCTAGTTCTCCTTCATCAACTGCCTGTTGGATATTTCTTGGATGTTCCACAAGTATCTCAAACTCAAAACCACATTTGGGCAGAAATATTCCTTTGCTCATGTTTTCCCCTATTCATGGAATACCCTCTGCTTATTGGAATGCTCTTCATCCTTGAAAGCCCAGCTCAAATACCACTTCCTCCAGGAAGCCTCCATGACTACCCCAGGCCATATTGACCTGTTCCCAGAGGAATCTCAGGTAATGTTTGGTAATTCTCTCATGTAATTTTTGAGTTCTAAAAGTATCCAATTATTTATATTATCTAATCTTTTTATCTCCTCCATCACAGAGCAGCTCTTTTGTACATTAGGTACTTAATACATTTTTGAACGGAAGTGAAGAGGCTAGGCTAGATGATGTCATGATGTAGGGGCATCGGAGGATGTGGGTTCAAATACTACTTCTATTACTACTACCTTAGTAACCTGGGGGATGTCACTGAAATTTTCGGGGCCTCAGTGGTCTCATCTGAACAATGGGAAGGTTGGGCCAGAAGACCTCTAAGGACCCTCTAAGGTCCAGCTCTAGATCTATGAGGTTATGTTCCTAAATTCAGCATTGTCAGGTAATAAAGTATATTTCTGCCATCCCTTGGTATCATTTACATGATTTCTCATAAGTTATTCTGACGTTCATATGCTTCTCATTCATTTTCTCATTTTCTGTACTCCCACAGGGATGCCTGACAGTTTGAAGTATGAGATTGTCTCTGGTCTCGGAGCTGACCACGCTGTTCCATGGCATGGGAGGAAGCAGGCATTCCTCTCATTGCCCATGGAGCGCATACCTTACCTGGACCCAGTGATGAGCTCAACAAGGATTTCAAAATGGCAATGAAGTATAATCAGCAGTCTCGCCAACACTTGTTTGCTCTGACACATTCCATGATCATAGAATAAAAATAGCAATAGCTTGGGTGTTAGAAATTCTTGTATTTTTACCCTGACCCTAGCCATAACTTTAGGACATAACTTCTCCCCTCAAGTAACCCCTTAATTTCTTCATTTCTAAAATGAGGATGATAACAATTGCACTACCTCAGGGTTTCTTTTTTAAGTGAAGATCAAATTAGACTGTTTGAAAAGCATGTTAAAAATATGAGCTATTATTAGGAGGTGCCCAATATATAATCATTCATTATTGAGTTCCCTGTCATGAGAGGTTTTCAAACGGAAGACAGACTGACTTATTGCGAAAGTTGTAGAAGGAATTCTTGCTTCAGTTAAAGGTTGGACTAGGTCACCTCTAATATACTTTTGAATGTGAAGAAAGAATGATGGTAAGTGGACAGTGTACCAGACTTAGAATCGGGAGAGGCCTGGGTTCAAATCCCATCACTGATATTAACTGTGTGATCGTGATGAAGTCTCAGTTTCCTCATCTTTAAAATGACATTAATTAAACCTGTAGTCAGGAGTCTGCTAGTAAACGTTCAATAACTAGCTCTCTGAAAACACAATATGCTTCTGAGATAAATCTACATTTTTAACATTGTTTCCATTACTTTCTTAAGTCTAGACGATCAAAAAAACAGTAAATCAAGGCACGATTTGTGGAGTTTGCTGATATCCGAGACAGAAATGCTCACATTGAGAATTTAACAATTGACGCTCATGAGGTAGATGACTCCTGCACTCCCTTGCCTGTGGTACTTACAACTTAAGTTTCTTGTGAGGACTCAAGTGAGATAATGTACATGAAGTGCTTTATTGTTGTTTAGTAGTGTTCAACTCTTCGTGACTCCATGGACTGTAGTACACCAATACTGTCCATGGGATTTTCTCGGCAAAGGTGCCAGAGCAGTTTGTCACCTCCTTCTCTAGTAGATTGAGGCAAACAGAGGTTAAGTAGTTAAAAGAGGTTAAGCCCAGGGTCATATAGCCAGTAAATATCTGAGGCTGGATTTGAACTCAGGTCTTCCTGAGTCCAGGCCCAGTCCTCTATCCCCTGAGCCACCTAGTTGCCTCTGGATGAAGTACTTTATCAATCTTAAATCATTATATAAATGTCAGCTATTATTATCATCTTCCCTAAACCAATCTTGCTAGCATCACAATGTGGTGGATGTCCTTGGATGTACATGGGGGAAGGCAATGAACCTGGCTGGAATAGCACAAAGAACCCAGTTTATGACTTTTCAAAGTGAGATAACAGAAGGAATGTAAAATAGGCCATATCAGAACCGGTTTGATCACTGACAGTCTAAATTAGGCATAAAATGTAACTGCTTGAACTGCTTACTTCATAGGAAGACCCTCTCTTAAAGAAAGTCCTATCTTTTCTTTGTATGTCACTGCCTTATCTGGAAAATGAAGGAACCATAGAATGATCTAAGGTCCCATCTGGTTCTGACAGCCTATGTTTTGAAGTCATTTCAGGCCCTGATATTCTATTGTTCTAAGGTCCCTTCTGCTTCTGAGGGTATAAAAATGATCCAAAATCACTTCTGCTAGGGACCAATTATTTCCCAGAAGGAGTATCTTTTAATCAAAAAATCTGATTCACCAGCATCTAGGACACTTTCGTCCCACTATTTGTTGATACAAAGCCAAAGTAAAGACAAAACAAAGGGCTGCCAACTGTTAAGATGACTAAGCCACGTGTACCAGTCTGGATCCTCCAAGCAGATGGATAGACATATGTATATTTACATATATATTTCTAATCAATTGAGTTCCAGTGAAAACACTAAAACTCAGGAGTATGATGGGAATCTGCCACATTACAGAGGTTTAGCACAATCCTTTTTTAGCTTTATGTTTGATCCATCAGTATCTGTGATGTCATTGATATGGATTCTCTCTAACAGTACAAATCACAAATCATTCACACCCTCTTGTCCTAAGGGACTTTTGTCAGATCCTATAAATGCTCCAAAGGGGGTTTACCTGATGGGCTGGAGGCCTTCTTTTGGATTTCCTTATAGTGTGTGGGTTATCAACAAGGAAACGAGTCATCCATTAATTATCTCTTGCTCTTATTACAAGATTGGCCTACTTCCTCTTCTGTCCATGTTTCCTTGATAATGTGTTTTAGGCTGGTCCTCCTACCCAATTCTTTCTTGGCAATATACTTCAGCCTACTCTAGAGACTATGATATTCCATGCCTCTCAAAACACTTGAGAGCATCACTGCAAGAATATAGGTGTTTAAAAAGACGGGCCTCAACATTCCAGGAATGCCTGGACAAATGGTAGTATATGCAAGTAAGGGATTCTTACTGCAGGGATTGATAAATATATCAGAGAAACATGGGTTTCTTACTGAAAGGAATGATAAATGTATCAGAAAAACATGAGTACTTTTGTATGAGGGGTTAGGAAGCGAAGAAAGCTGAGCTGGAAGAACAATCCATACAATGACCAAAAACTACAATGTAAATAATTCAGGGCACTTTGTTTGCTGCTCAGCGGCTAGAGCTCCAGACCTGGAATAAGTTCAAATGTGGCCTCAGATACTTTCTAGCTATGTGACCTTGGTCAAGTCACTTGACTTCTCAATTTCTTCACTTATAAAATGGGGATAATAATAGCACCTAACTCTCATGGTTGTTGTGAAGATCAAAATGAGATACTTCTGAAGTGCCTAGGCAAATAGTAGGTGCTTAAAAATGCTTGTCTCCTTCTATCTCTGTATCCTTTTACATATTTTGACAAGGAGAACAAGTGTTTGCTAAGGTAATTTCTAGGCTCTGAGGGAATTGAGGGGATTAGGACAAGTGGTTAATTGTGGGAGCTGAGTGAACCATATTGACTCCATCTTGTGACTCAATTCTGGAGCTAGCTTAGTTGCCTTTCTATTCAATTACAGGTTTAGTCCAATATATGTCCTGTGAGAAAACTTTATTCCATTGTGGGAAATGGGAGAAAATTTTATTGTATTGTTTGAATGGGAAGCTGGACCATGTCTACCTGCTGCTCAAAGACCCTTAATTAAAGACCTAGTTTATACTGACCAGAAACTTAGGTCCAAAGACTGATGCAAGGAATTTCCTCACAATTATACATCGCAAGCAACCCATAAGTTTTATCTGAAAACTGACCCCATACTGGTTAGTTATTGTTTCCATGTTCCTTTGATTGAATACAGACACTTGGGGTAGTGGGACACTTCTTTTCCTGATTTCAGGGAACTGCACCTGCTTGCTCTCCCCCTTCCAACTTGGAAAGTCCCTAATCTGTCCTTCAATTACAAATCAGATTATCTAATGTTGTATTGTTTCCCTTTAATTAATTGGTCTTATTTGATTGTTTTTAATGTGTAAAAATCTGTCCCCTCCTTGTGTTTGGGGGTCCAATGTCAAAGTCCACGAAGGCTACTTACTGGTCCTGATTTGTTCGGCAATTGGCATGCAGTGTGCTTAATAAATTTATATGCTTGGAAGCTCCAACTTTTGTTTCCTCAGTCATTTCATCTTTCATCTGCCACAGCTCTTTCGGTGTCTTCATTATAGTGATTGATTTCAATTGGTTAAACTTCTTTAGGAAATGACAGCCTGTATCATGTTCTTGATTCACTCCCCATTTTTCTGTTAATAGTTCATTTAAATAGGTTGGTTGGAATTATTTTAATTCTTTGGCATATGCCCTCAATTTTATTCATTTTGTTATTGATTTTGATCTTAGCTCTGAAAAGTCAGTGATCTGACAACTATGTCACAATCTAGTTCTGCCTCCCCATCCATTGTGCGCTTTGTCTTAGATAGACCTCTACCTCTAGGGGTCCTTCCATTTTCCGACACTCATGAAGGCCTGGTTCCTTCCTGGCCTTACGTTTTAATACTGGTTGCACCTATACTCATTCATTTATCCCCCTTCTCCCATCCTGGAAGTGGGTATCAGAATATTCTTTGCTCCCCATTGCCACTTCCGGATCCTCCATGTCTCCTCTCCTTTGAAATTTACACTAGTCAGATATATCACCCAATACAGATCCTGGTAGCAGTTAAGCATTGGTCCCAGATCATTCCCCTTCCTTTTGAAAAGAATTCAATATCTTGCTTGGTTTTCCTCTCTCCTCCAACCTCTGCCTCCATACCAGGAGATCTTGAGGTACATGTTGGTATTCCCTCAAATACCCTGGCTTCCTAATTCCTTAATTTCCTCAGATCCTATGATCTTTTCCTTCATTCTGTTTCAGTCACACACATCCAAAAATGTTCTACTTCCACAATCAAGAAGTCTGATATTTCTTACTCTTCCTAAATCCATTTTTTCTGTTTTACTCTTACCATGACCTCTAGGCTCTCTATCCCTCAGTACACTCCCAGCCATCACCTCTGCTCTGGCTTCATTTTATGACCTTTCCAAGCTTGACTCTATAATTAACCAGTCCAAATTTACCCTGTTCTCTGTTCTTGAATACCCACGGGCTGAATGCTGACCTTGATACCCTCCAGCATTGCCAGAAGCAGATTAAAATACAATTGGGAAATATTTGACAAAATAAAAATACTAAGTCAACATGCAGCCTTGTGGGGATCGTTTATGTATGGTTTATTGGTTCCATTTCTATTTGTTTGACACCACTGGTCTACAAGACTTTGGCCACTTTTATTAATCCTAAACCCTATTTTCTATATTTTTTCACCATAAAAGTAGAGAGGTGGTGCAGTGAATAGAATACTGGGTCTGGAGTCAGGCGGACCTGAGTTCAAATCTAGTCCTCGGATGTATACTAGCTGTGTGACCCTGAGCAACTCACTTAACTTCTGTTTGCCTCAGTTTCTTCATCTATATAATGGAGATAATAATAGCACCTACTTCACAGGATTGTTGTTTCAAATGAGATATTTGTAAATTGCTTAGGCTAGTTATGTGATACATATAGTGGGTGCTATATAAATGCTTATTC